TCCTCCTCCTCCTCCTCCTCCTCCTCCGCCTCCTCCTCCTCCTCCGACCAAAAGTTCCCAGCCCCAGTTGATTCATAACAAAAATCACGGCGCCAGGTCTTTCGCTATTTTCGGCCATTCGGGGCCCTTGCTGGGCCGCGGGACTGCCAACAGAACGACTCAGGATGAGACACCGGTCCCGTGGGATGGGTCGACCCCTCGGGGTCGACGTCGTGAACAAATCATGACGTCTGGGGTTTGGATAGAGGTCGCCCTCAAAAGAACAAAAGATACCCATGTTGCAAACCTTTCGTTGTTTTGCCGTTTTTTGATGTTTTTGGGCCTCCTGGGAGGCAACTCCACTTCTAGACGTCTAGCGTGTTTGATTGTTGCTTGTTTGTTTTCTTTTCACGTGAAAGCAATTAACATCGGGAGGAGCAGAGAGGAATCTCATTGTAAGGCGCCACGAAAGGGAGTTCTACAGTAATCCACAACATAAGGATTTCTATTGAAAGGCGCCACAAAAAATATCTATTGTAATCCACCACACAAGGTATCCTATTGTATTACCCGGCGAAACGATTGTTATTGAACGGGGAGGCATGTTCTTCCACTTCTACGTCCTCTTCTCCTCGCTCCTCGACGCCGTTTGCGTGCAGTCGGCGTTACTCTCGGACAGTGGCCGTTCGGCGCCAGTCGAACGGGACAGGACTTCGTGGCGTGGTGTTATACATTTGCGCCCTTGTCTCTGCGATCCTCGTCGCCTTCTGCGTGCAGTTGGCGCTGCTCAAAGAAATTTCGGCGACCTTCCAGTCGCTCGTACTTGCACGCTCAGCCTCCGGCCACCTGTGCCGGTAGAATCGGACAGGGCGGAGTTCCATCGAGCTCGTTTGCCTTTTTTGTTGTTTGTTGTTGTTTGGGGTGTAAGACCGTGCTTCGCACCGACATCTTGCCTCATCTCTACACCTGCCAGGCTTCGGACACGATCGACAACGTGAAGGCCAAGATCCAGGACAAGGTGCGCGCCGTGGGGCAATCATCTGCCCCGCACCGCAAGCGCAATCAAGGACGTCTACGGCGAACCACCGCCGCCCCCTGCCTTTTGGAAACGCCTGTGTTGCGAACTGTCGAGCGAAGGTGTAGCCATGCCTGTAGACAGCGTGTTTCCCAGCGCGTGGAGAAACGGGACACTGGAGAAGCCCTCTGGGGTCAGCTTGGGAGCTTTTCGGGGCTGTTTGGACCTTCTTGAAGGCACCCAGGTGCTCTCTTCGGCCACATTGGGGCTGTCTTGGGCCGTCTCAAGGTGCTCTCAGGCTGTGTGGCGCCTTCGGAGACAGTCGTGGGGGCCTACCTGGAACGTCCTGGGAACTTCATGGGGCTTCGGTGGGCCGTCCTGCGACTCGCGTGGGCCGTGCTGGCATCTTGGGCCTCCCTTGGGCCGTCCGGAGTTTGTTTTTGGGCCGTATCGGGGCCCTGGGGAGCCTCCCTGGGCCGTCTTGGAGCCGTTTTGGGCTCTTTGGCGGTCTAGGAGGCATTTTGGTGTCATCCTAAGCTCTCGTGGGGCCATTTCGGCTGTCTCGGAGTCGTCTGGGCTATCGTCTTGGGGAATATTGGGCGTCTTGGGGGCGGATTTGCCAGACTTTGCACTTGCTGGGTGGCGGGCGGCTTGGGCTGGAGACCACTGAGAACTTGTTGGACGGGCCAGAAAAACTAGCCCGGCGAAGGGCCCAACCATATGCAGTGCCCAAGTACGGTGGTCGGTGGATCTTCTTATGGTGCCACGAAGCGGTGAACGGCGTGTCGAAAAGTGACAGGACCGCCATGCGGGCGCTGCCACTGGGGCCGCAGGTGGAGCTCCCTGTGGGGCCAAGAATCGTGTGAGGTGTTCGCGGTAATGGAAGGTGGAACCCCATGCGGGCGCTGCCACTGGAGCCTTCGGTGGATCCCCCCTCTGGGGCCATGAAACGTGTGAGGGGTGCACCGAAATTAGAGTGGAACCGCAGGCGGGCGCTGCTACTGGGGCCTTAGGTGGGGCTCCCTATGGGGCCACAAAGCGCGCAAGGGATTTGTCGCAACGGAGGGTGGAAGCGCATGCGGGCGCTGCCACTGGGGCCCTCGGTGGAGCTCCCGAAGAGGCCGCGAAACGTGTGAGGGGTGCACCGAAATGGCTGGTGGAGCTGCATGCGGGCGCTGCCACTGGGACCTGCGGTGGAGCTCCCTACGGGGCCACGAAGCGTGTGAGGGGTTCACCGAAATGGCGGGTGGAACCGCATGCGGGCGATGCCACTGGGGCCTTATGTGGAGCTCCCTATGGGGCCACGGATCTTGTGAAGAGTGTACCGAAATGGGGGGTGGAACTGCATGCGGGCGCTGCCACTGGGGCCTTAGATGGAGCTCCCTACGGTGCCACGAAGCGTGCGAAGGGTGTGCCGAAATTGTCATGCGGAGAGCAGAGACAGGGATGGGAGAAGGGACGGAAGGGGGAGCAGGAAGGAGGAAGAAAACGCGGAACACCACAGTATGGTTGGGAAAAGAGGAGGAGGGTTGGGAAAAGAGGAGGAGGAGAAGGAGGAGGGGGAAAAGGAGGACGATGAGGGGGAGGAGGAGGAGGAAACGGAGAAGAAGGATGAGGAGGAGGAGGATGAGGAGGAGGAGGAGGAGGAGGAGGAGGAGGAGGAGGAGGAGGGAGGCGGAGCGGTGACTGCAGAGAGGGTCGAGGGGGGAGGAGCAGAAGGCGGGCGGAGGATGAGGATAGGGAGGTGGACGCGGGCCGTGCTTCTGCCCGGCCACGGCTGTCGGCGGGGGAGCGGTCGACGCCCCGTGGCCGAGCCGACGAGGGCATGAGTAGCCCCAGGCCAGCAGGAAGAGGCCGTACAGTGGAGACCCATGCCAAGGAACACCCCGCTTGCCTCCAGGGTGCCCTGGGTCTCGTGGGTTTCGGTAGTTTTGTCTTTGGAGAGCGTGGCGCTCCCATAAAGAATCCATGGACGTTCTGGGGTCTCGGGCTTGGGTTTCTTGTGGAAGGTTTCTTTGGTCGAGCTCCTGCTGTAGCCGGGCCGGTAAGGAGGTTTTGTTCTGCTCCCCCAGAGAGCAGTGTTTTTCGAAGAAGGCAAACGCCATAAACAATAAATGTTTGGCGCTCCGCGCGGATTTCTTGGATCTGCGCTGGGCCCCCCTTGGCGGCGCCTCCGGCGACGCCTCTGGCGCGCGGGGGGTCCAGCGCAGATCCAAGAAATCCGCGTGGAGCGCCCATCACTTATGTCTGTGTGCATTGTACGCATACGTCTGGCGCGAAATCGTGCCGCACGTCGCTTTGTATGAGAAGAGTGGCCCGCGTCGTCTGTCTGGTGCCGCTTGTAGTGCAACGCCTTGACGTTCCCCAGCAAGGCGCAGTACGGCCTAAAGGATCCCCAAGGCCGCGCCCAAGGCGGTTCCGACTGCCTCTGGAAGTCCTTAGATGACTTGAGTTGCCCATGTTGGCCCCAGGGGTCACCAAGGGACCTCCGAAGTCACTTCCAAGTTAGTCCGAGGGGCTCTCGTGACGCCCAGGAGGTCTTCGAGTCTGATGAAGACGGCCCACAGACCTCAATCCTCCCGGAGCCTCTCAAAAGTTTCCTCCGGGCAGCTGCTCTGTGCATTTGCTTGGGGCCTGCTACTTCATCGTTCACAGACTCCAAGAGTTTTCATCAGGAAGTGCACTCTCATATGTTGATTCTTGCGCGACGATGTCCATCCTCATCCGATCCTGTGAACTCGGCTCGGACTGCGCTAGGACCGCCCTGCGCGCGAAGCGTGCGCGTGCGCATTTACCTGGGGGAGCACATTGGGGCCTGCAAGCCACGGCCTCGAACCCTCAATCTGGGTTTAAGTCGGGCCTGTCCCTCTACAGAAGGGTAATATTCAACAATAGTCAAAAGAATAATCTGGGGACGATGTTCATAGTAGTTGTGGGCATGTTTTGAGTACTTTGAACTTTTCGCCCGAAACCCGCCTATAGGAGGACTCGCCCGACGTAAACCTGCGTCCATCTCGCCTCTGGGGCCCCCTGGGCCGCTCCTTGGCAACTCAAGACAACCGTTGGGGCTCTCCAAGAGCGCCCACGATGGCTTCCAGACTGCCCAAGAGGCTGCCAAGAGCACCCAAAAGCGCCCCAGCGGCGCCCCAGGACCGCTCAAGATAACCTCCCGGCAGCTCCAGAGGTCTCCAAAACGCCCCGATAGAGCTTCAAGAGGCCCCCTAAGAGGGCCGCAAGAGGCCAACATCGCCCGATTCCCTGCGGCAGACGCACATGTTAGCACAGTCACCAGTTTGGTTTTCACTGCGTCCAAGACGGCCCAACTGCTCCTTTAAGATCCGCCCAAGACGGCTGCATAGGCCCGCAATGAGGCATCGCAGCTGCCCAAGAGAGGCTGAAGACGGCCCACGAGGCGCCCAAAACGGCCCAAGAAAGCCCCGACAGGGCATTTAAAAAGGGGGCCCCAAAGAAGCCCTCAAGATGCCCCCAGGACGCCCAGAATAACGTCCAAGAGGCCCCCAAACGGCCCCTCAGAGGTCTACTGTCCCCAAGACGCTCACGAAAGAGACCTCCCAAGTGAGCCGAACATGCATCCAAGAGGCCTCTGACCCACAACCCAGGCACGGTGGCGGTATGTTCATTGCCCAGCCTTTTGCAGGCCATCCCCAAGCGAACCTTACGAGGGTCCCAAGAAACAACCCCCTAGAGAGAAACGACACGGCTCACAGGTCCCACACATTGACCTCGCAATAGCAACGAGAGTACAGAGTTGTTCAACGACACTTCCTGGACGGCCCAAAGAAAACCGAAGAGGGCCCCAGAAAACCAGGATGGAACCCAAAGGCTCCCAACACGCTACAACATTCAACAATATAGCCCTAACATGGAACTGTACATACTCCTCCTCGTCACCCTCGTCGTCGTCGTCGTCCCCACGGGGGGGAAGCCCGAGACTAGAAAGTCTCAAGTCGTCGGAGGCAGGGGACAGAGGGGGGCGGGAGAAGAGGAGGAGGAGGAGGAGGAGGAGGAGGAGGAGGAGGAGGAGGAGGAGGAGGAGTGGAGGGCGACGAGGAGGAGGAGGAGGCGGAGGAGGGGGAGAAGGAAGATTGGAAGGAGGAAGGCAAGGATGGTGAGGGGCAGCCAAGACCTAGCGCCGCCGCAGCCCGCGCGCCGAGAGACACCCAATACGCCCTGACCTCACGGTCTAGGTGAGGGGTGTGCCAACATGGGCGGGGTGGCGGGATGCGAACCTTGGCCCTGGGGTTGTCGGTGGAGCTCCCAGTGGGGTACGATCCGTGTGAGGAGACAGTCAACCTACACGGGTGGACGTGACGTTGCATGCGATTCTTCCCACCAGGGCAGCCCGTGAAACTACATCCCTCTAGGGCACGAACCGTGTGAAGGATTTGCCGATATGGGGGGACGAACGCCATGCAATTTTTGTCCCTGGACCCGAGGGTGGAGCTCACAGGAGGGCACGATCCGTGAGGGCCGTGCAAGAATCTGTGGGGGGACGCGTTGTGAGCCTTGCCTTCCTTTGGGGCCGCAGGTCTCGGCTCTGCCTTTTCCATGACCAGTTCGAACCATGTGTGGGTCACTACTTCAGTGGAGCTGTCTGTGACCAACTCGCACCGTCCAGTTAAGGTTAGTGGTGGCGAGAAAGAGGAAGGAGGAGGAGGAACTGCGGCTGTGGCGGGCTCATCTGCAACGTGTAGGAAAATCGGCGCCTCCTCCTCCTCCTCCTCGTCCTCCGCATCCTCATCCTCCGCCTATTCCTCCTCCTCCTCCTCATCCGCCTTCTCCTCCTGGTTCTCCACCTCCTCCTCCTCCTCCGCCTTCTCCTCCTCCTCCTCCTCCTCCTCCTCCTCCTCCTCCTCCTCCTCCTCCTGCCGAGCTTCTTTAGCTGCCGACGACCGCCCCGCCCCATCGTATATACTCGGCGGCGTACAGCGGTTGTTGTTGCTGCTGCTGCCCTTGGGATGATCCAGGTCCCTCCTCCCTCTGTCCCTCCGTCTCCCCATGCTCTCCCTCCTCCCACTCCTCCCCTCCGCCTCCCCCTCCCCCTCCTCCTCTCCTCCTCCTCCTCCTCCTCCTCCTCCTCCTCCTTCTCCCCCTCCTCCTCCTCCTCCTCCTCCTCCTTCTCCTCCTCCTCTTCCTCCTCCTCCTCCTCCTCCTCCTCCTCCTCCTCCTCGGTATCATTGCGGCCGTTTGACGGTGTGGGCCGCTTGCCTGCCAGGAGGGCATCCCCCCCGACCAGCAGCGCCTCATCTTCGCGGGGAAGCAGCTCGAAGACGGCCGCACGCTCAGCGACTACAACATCCAGAAGGACCCTTCTCCTCCAGCGGGGGCGAGGGCGGAGGAGGAGGACGGTTGATGCGGAGCCGCCCGCCTCTGCAGCGGATCGGCAGGGTGGGCCCGAGCTGCGGCCCCGCCCCGCCGCCCATCTCACTGGCCCCCCGGCACGCGCCCAGCTCTGGGCCAGATGGTCCTGGCATCGCTCGGTCGTGTGCCCTTCCATCGGCGAGGACCATCGAGGAGCATCCTCGACCATCGCGCCAACAAAAGCACGCGCGACACCGAGAAGTGCACGGGGAATGGGCGTCCGAGCGATGGCAAGTGGTCGCCGCCTGCCTCTGCCTCTGCTGCTGCTGCTCCTCCCTCCCTCCCCCGAGAGGCTCCCGGAGGTCCCCGGCCCCAGCTGCGCACGGAGGCCCAGGGAGGGCCGAAGCGGGCGGAGTCCAAGCAGCATGGAAGCCGACGAGAGCACGAATGCCGACGTCGTCCTCGCCCTCGTCGTCGTCGTCCTCGCCCTCGCCCTCGCCCTCGCCCTCGCCCTCGTCCTCGTCGCTGCCCTCCTGCCGTCGACGACGCCGCGGCCTCGTGGCAGCCAGGCAGCCGTCGGCCGGGAGGTCTCTCTGGGCTCCGGCCGTCGTGTCGTTGCCCCCCCCCCCCCCCCAGGCGCGGCCCCCGCTGTGAGCACCCTGCGGTCGCAGCCGGGCCCGCCGAGGGTTGTTTTTTTCGTCCGGGGCGGCCCGGACACTGTTTCGGCACTCTTTTGACACGTTTCCGGGTGCTCGAAATTATTTTCGGGGGCGGAAAAGAGGGGGGTGATGACTAGGGGGGGGTGGATATCATGGCGGGGGCCATGATATTTCCCCAGATTTCATGGCGCCCCTTCTTACTTCATTACGTAAATGGCCCCCCCGCTGGGCCGCGCACATGCCGCCGGTCATGATTTGCACCCCCCCGTCTTGGACACCCCCCTCTTGGCCGCTCCCGATATTTCTGGGAGCAACATAACCTGGTGCGTGTTCGGGCTGGCCGGATGGAGCCTGCTGGACGGAGGGCTGGCCCGTTGGGTGGGCCGTCAGGTCGGCTGGTGGCCTCTCTCTGTGCAGGGCACGGATCTCGCTTTCGCCAGTTCGTGCCGTGGCCTCGGGGGCGCGGGCCCGCTGTTCCAAGGGAGCGTACACATGGTTCATTTCTAATTCTTCGAGAGTTCTCTGATTTCTGGGGGGCCAAGATCCTTTCATTTCTAATTGCTCTATCCTGGGCCTCTTCCTGGCCACTAGTGGGCCAGGAACAGTTAGAAACGAGCACAATTCGAAATGAGCAGGACTAGAAATGAACGACGTGTAGTGATAGAGGACGGGGGATAGGGATAGAAAGAGACAGGGGCAGATATAGTGACAGGGACAAAAGGACAGGGATACGGGTAGGAATCGGCAATTGGAGCCAACAGGTGTCGGAGGCAGTGAAAGACAAGGGGAGGGCAAGGGGAGACAACGGGAGACGCCCGGGGACAGCATCGCCCGCCGGCTGCAGCTTTGGCACAGCACTCTACGAGTCTCGGGGGATTTCTCGCGGGCACGGGGAGGCCCCGTGCCACGAGGCGCCCGGCTGGCCTCCGGGGGGCCCCGGGTCTGCCCCGGGTTCCGGCGGCTCTGCCACGGCGAGCGCGACGTTCCCACGCCCAAAAATTCAGGAGGGAAAAAAGCACACAGACACAATTCATCGTCCATTCCCCAGAAAATATTTGAAAATATGTGAAGTGGGGGGGGGAGACAAAAGCCAAGAAAATATGGGAAAATATGGGGAACACTTTTACTTGTGTGTATTGATTTGTGTGTCCCAGGGCCCCTTCTAAAAGCCAGGGACGTCCTGGGGTGTCAGGGTTGGGCTTCTGGTGGCAGGCTTCTGGTGGACTGGCTTCCGCCGTACAGTCGGGGCGCTGACTAAGGAGCCCTTTTCGTTGGGGAGGGGCTCGGTGCCCCTTGATTGTTTTGCAGCTTGCCTCTGGTTTTCCTCGGGTTTCCCACGGGAGATCGAAGTGTAACTCATGGGAAAAAAAGGGCCCTCGTTCCTTAGTTAGGGTTCCTTAAATTAGGTCAACGCCTCGACTGCAGGCGCAGCGTCGGCCTGCACTCCTCGCGACGGGGGCTGCGGGATCGGCCTCGCGAGATCGCCTGGCGCTCGGCTCGCGGTGCGCACGGCAGGCGCGCGGGCTCGCGGGGTCGGCCTCGAGCCATCTCCGCATGCTGCGTCGGAAGTAGACGTATGATGTTCCAAACCTCCTTTCGCCTTGGCCACCAGGCAGAAGTTCGAGCACAGAAGAATGCCGAAACTCGAGGGGTTTCACGTGTCGGGCCCTGGGCGACACTCGCCCGACACTGTTTCGACACTCTCTCGACACTCTTCTGCTCGAATTCCTATTTCTGGGACGTGGTCCTGAAGTGCGAGGGGAACCACAGAAAAGTAGATGCTTCCTTGCAGAGATTGTGCGCCCTGACCTCCGGTTGTCGTGCTGTGATGGGTCCCGTCATGCACTGTGATGGGTCCCGGCGCGTTCTCCAGTCTGCGGCCTCCGGGGGCCGTCCGCGGGCTCGGGGCTCCACATAAAGAGCGGCGCCCGTGATGCATATCTTTGCCTCTGGGACGGGGGCCGAGAGCTCTGTGTGGGGACCGCGGAAGGGTGTCGGCTGGTCTGGGTCGGTCAACGTATTCTGCCTTCGCGAGCCCCCCCCCCCTCCTCCCCGAGATGCCCCCCTTGCGCCCCCCGGGCGTCCAGCCCCCTCCCCCCCCCTCCCCATCCACGGGCTGCTGCGAGAGGGACGCGGCAGGCCTCCATTGGGCTCTGGCTTCTCCCCCCCCCCCCGCCCTCCCCCCCCCCCCCTCCCGCCGCGGGCGCCACCTGCGAGCAGCCCCGTGGGCAACTGGCGGCCTCACTCCGAGCACTGATGGGGGGGGCCAGGCCTCCTCCCGCCGTGCCGAGCCGCAGGGGGCGCGGGCCAGCCCGGAGTGCACCGACACCGTCCGCGTGTCAGTTGCCCGGTCGCTCCTGTCCGAAGGCCTGCTGCTTCCTCAGCCGCGACTGGCTGGTGGGGTCACAGCGGCGCACGGCGGCGCGTCACTGATCCTATGTTTTTTCCCCTCCAAAGCACGGTGAGGTGCGTGGGCGCCGCTCTCGCAAGCCAGGGGGGAGTCTGTGCGTCGTTCTCTGGCGTCTGCCGGGGATCGCAGGCAGCCGACGGCCGGCCGCGTCGAGACCTGCCGCCGCCGCAGGAGTCCACGCTGCACCTGGTCCTGCGCCTCCGCGGGGGCGTGATCGAGCCGTCCCTGGCGGTGCTGGCGCGCAAGTACAACTGCGACAAGCCGCAGGGGGGGCCTCATGCTCGGAGGTCTAGACGTTGCCAGCAGCACCAAAAGTCGGCGGTTGCCTCCACCGAAAGAAGATGATGCTAACCTCAGCGATGCTGGTACGATTCGGGCTTCTATAGGTTTCCGAGAGATTGCCACCGGCATTCGAATCCAGGGTCACCTCCCCCCGGTGGAGGCACCCCTTCGTGTTGGAGTTGATGCCAATGTCCAGGCCCCCCAGTATTTTCTTCCTCCTCCTCCCTCTCTTCTTCTGCTCCTTGTCCTTTCTGTTGGCCTTCGGGGGCTCCCCTCCGTCACTGCGGCCGGACGCGGCTTGGAAGACGTGTCGGGGTGCCTGCCTGGGAGAGGCCCAGGGGCCCACTGTTTGAGCGGAGGTTCGCCGTGGACGGGCATCCGCGCATGCCCTGCCGAAGGGCTCGTGAGCGTCTGGAGCGTCGCCATGTCTGAAGCCCGAGCCTCGGCTATACATACGAGCTATCTTTTACTCGGGCATGTCCCTCTACAGGAGGAGCGAATATTCGAAAATAGTACAGAAATGGTCAGGGGATAGTCAGGGGACGATTTTTGCATTACTGTTTACCATGTATGCGTACCGTTTGGCTATTTGTCATTGTTCCTCCAAAATCCGCCTCCAGGAGGACATGCCCGACCTAAAGCTATCTGGGCCGATCCTCCTCGGTTCCTGGCGACGTCCCCCTCGCGCGATGGTAGTCTTTGCCCTGTCCCCCTCACGGGGCATGTGTACGCTGGTCTGGTTTATTGGCCGCCCCGTAGGATGCATGCATTATTTGTGCCCGCGTGCTTCTGAGTGTTGCGGACGACGATAAATGGATGGAGACGACAATCATTCCCAGATGTTTAAAACGATGTTTAAACATGTTTTACAATGTAGAAACATGTCTTAAACATGTTTAGGGCGTTTCCTACCCTTTTAAACACACCTTTAAACTCAATGACATGATTGTTAGGCTCTCCGTGTTCATGGCATCCACAATATGAATGCAAAGCGTACGTTTGAGCTCGGAAGATCTGACGGTGTTCTCTTCTTGACTGCATTCGAACCGTAGCCTCGGGCTTTAGCTAGACTTAAGCAATCAGAGCCTCATCACAGACGTTCGATGGTCGTAGATTAACGCGTTGCCTTGCCGCTCGAAGGGGCGCACTCGACAGGAGGTGTATTGTCTTGCTGAGTGCGTTGATTGCCTGCCAGGTTGCACGCGTGTCGTTCGCGAATGCCTTGGAGGCCATGCCATAGAGCCGCAGCGCTGATCGATGTCGCCCTTGCAGCGTTATCAAGAAGACTCTCCTGACAGCCCGAACCCCGCCGGGCTCTTCGCGCTGGTTTTTTCACCCCACAAGTGTTGTTCTTTGTCTTGTGCCTGGTTGTGTTCTGACTGCGGCTAGAGGTGCCAAACCATTGCAACTGCCCCACAGCGGCGGCGCTCCCGGCGGGTTCCTCCTGGACATTTCTGCAGTTGCAGCTCTGATACATTCAATGCGCCTAGTAAGGACGCGCGCCTTCATCTAGGATACCCTTGTGTCCTTGCTTCTGCGGCCCGTCCTTTGCCGTTTTCACTGGTCGCCCGCCGCCCAAAAACTTCCAATTTCGGCCTCCGAGGGTGTTGCGTCCTTACCACCCGTCCTTTACACGTTTTGACTGTATTGGCTAGGGGTATCTGCGTGTCCTATGGTCTCAAGACAATTGCCCCTGATTTTCCGCCAGACTTTGCCGAACAATTGCTTCTTGTGCTAATTACGTGGTGACGCAGTGTGTGAGGCATGGCTTCACTCAGGCGACGAAGTCTACGCAGTATGGAATGATCCTCCCCCGTCTCTCCGCCCATGTGTTTTGCATAATGCGCAGCGCTCAGTTAAACCAGCCCATGGATTTGTAGGTCAGCCAGTCTGGCGGGGATGCAGGAAGTCAATGATTCAAACAAGGAGGAGTAACACCCCCTCCCCTCTTGTCCGACACTTTGCACAGAGTTCAACATACCAGTCAAGCCAGCCAGTCTGTCAGTTGTCTACTACCAATCGGTCAGCCAAGTTCGCGCGTAGTCGACCAGTCAGTCAACAAACGAACCTATCACCCATCTGAGCGAGTCCAGAAGGCAAGCAAGTGGCAATCGACCGACCGAACGACCCACTACGCAATCCATCACCCACCAGCCCAAACAAGCCCATCCGTAACCGCAGCCCCCGATCCAACTCCCGAGCATGCAACCGATGATCCGATTGCGCAGCCGACGAATCCAGGGAAGCAGCCTCGCAAGCGCGCAGCACCATTCTATACACTGACTGCACGTGGGGCCTGTGGCTTGCAGCTTCTTGCCCACTTCGGCCATGGCCTGGTCCCTGTTGGATACGTGTACAATTTACGGGAGGCGCAAATTCGGCATTGTGATAGTGTTCTTCTTCTTTGTTTGGCCGATCGGCGCGGGCCCTCGCATTCCCCCCCTTCCCCCATCCATGGATTAGATCTTGGCTGTTTTGGGCGCCTGCTTCGAGCAGGTGGAGTCTCTCCCATAGGACGCACGGTTGCAAACAGTCGCACGAAGCAGGGGTCCAGAGCCGGACCCCCCCCCCTCCCTCCCTTCTTCTGCCGAATAATCAAACACTCGCATTCGAAATGGAATTGGTTGGATTGGAGGCGGCTGCAACAATGTCCAGCTGCCTGCGGCAATTCTGGCCACCGTGCCAGCCCTGCATCCTGGGTGGAGGCTGTTCGAAGGGGACACGGGAGGCCGTCACGCGTGACGCCTCGGGGCCCTTGAAGGCCTCGGGGCTTTGTTGGGCGCCTCTTTGGGGAGTTTGGGGGCCTCTGGAGGGCTCCTTGGGCCTCTTGGCAGCGTCTCGGGGACGCCACGGGGGCTCTCGGGGGCTCCGTGGTCGGTCTGAGGACGCTTTTGGGCCGCCCGGGTGCTTTCCGAATCGCGATCTTGGGGGTCTTTCTGGGTCGTGCTGGTGTCCTCTAAGGGTCGGGGGTGGACAGACCTCCTACCCTAGCCCGTCGAGTGAGGAATTGGCCGTTTTCGGTTCGCGAGAGGGCGTCGCGGCCGTCGTTTTTGCAGGTCCAGGTCCGTCGGGTTCGGTCCCGGGCCGTTTTCACGAAGGGGGAGGTTTACGAAAGGGAGGTTTGTGCACCGCCGATTGGGGACCTCGAGGGCCGTCTAAGGGCTCCTTGGGTCGACCTTGGGGTCATCCTGGGCCGCTCTTGGGCCATGTCGGAACTCTCTCGGGCTGTCTTGGAGCCCTCTCGAGGCCCTCGTGGGTCGTCTCGAGTCTCTATTGGAGGCTTCCTTGGCCGCCTTGGGCTGACGGGAGCCCGGAACGGTGAGAATACGAACATCCATCAAACGCCCAATGGAAATCAATGGTTGTGACCTTTTCGGGCGCTCCTGGAAATTCTCTTGGAGCCCTCGTGGGCAGTCTTGAAGGCGTCTTGGGCCATGTTGCACTCATCGTGGGCAACGTTGGGGCCGTATGAGCCCATTTTGGATGAATCGTGGCACACCTTGGTGGCCTTGGTGGCCTGACCTTGCCGTCTTCGGAGCCAGCTTGGGCATGCTCGACGCCTTGGCGAGCGCCAGGGGGGCGCGTCGCGGCCCAGGAAGCCTCGGAAGGGGCGGCGCACGCAACGAAGCGCGAGGAGGAGGGGGGCCCCTTGGAAGACTACAGAAGCCCTGCCAGACAGCACTTGGCATTCCAGAGCGCCTCAGTTTGCCAGGGGGCACGTGGCGGATCGCTGAGAGCTCGGGGGGGCCCGTGACGACCGCAACTTGACAATAGGAGCGCTGACCTCGAACCAGAGCCGACGTACAGGAGCTACGACCAATCCTAGAAAGCCACGGTGCAGCTCTTCCGGGCTACGCTCTTTCTGGGCCCGCCCCCTACCCGCCCCTCGGGCTCGCAGAGGCTACAGGGCTCTGAAAAGGACGGGTGGTGGGGGGCACACTTCATGGAGCACGTGGCTTACCAGCTTACCAAGGGCGCCCTCGAGGGCGCGAAGTTATTCGCGCTTCGCGGTTCGGCTCCGATTCCTCCTCTTCCTCCTCTTCTCCCTTGGGAGGGGGCGCGAGAGCGCGAAGTTATTCGCACTTCGCTCTCCGCGCAGCGCGAAGCGCGAAGTTGGGAGCCCTTGCTCACCGGCAGGGGCTCCATGGCCCGAGAGAACACACGGGCCTGGGGACTGGGCACAGAGTGGACAGCGCCAGCGGGGGGGGGTGGAGCCGCCCCCGCGTTGTGCGCGGGAACCGAGCTTCGCATCGGGCTTATGTTTTATATAGAAAATATGTTGTTTCCTAGAACAGCTTCGGGTGCTGACAGAACATGTCGTGGTAGGCCTACAGAAATGCCAGGACGGTCGGTCCCTGCTGATGACCGGACAGCGCCAGCGCGGGGGGGGGGCTAGCCGCCCCCCCGCGTTGTGCGCGGGGACCGAGCCTCGGAGCGGGCGCGCGCACGCGTGGCGCCTCGTCGGGGCCGCCTGTGCTCCGCTTCGGTGCGCGATCCGATCTTCGCGGTTTCGAACCGGGCACAGCTAGGACCCCAGGCAAGGGGACCCAGTTGGCAGTATAGGGCCCCGCAGCCCCTACATTAACCAGAATCACTTCTCACTGTTCGTTTCTACTTCTTCGAGAGTTCTCTGATTTTTTTTGGGGGCCAAGATCCTGGGCCTCTTCCTGGCCACAAGGGGGCCAGGAACAATTAGAAACAAGCGCAACCAGAAACGAGCACGGCTCGAACTGCACGACGTGCACACCAGGTCTTCCGTAGCTCGTGTCTTTAGGATGACGGCAGTTCCGCTCAGTGGCACGCGGCGGGGGGGGGGGCGCCCCCAGTACACATCACTAAACCAGGTCCCACGAAGCCCAGTTTTGCCAACGCCCGATTTGGTCCCGAAGATTCCGATTCGGCTCGACGTGGCTCCGCCTGGCGTGGCGAGCCGATTTCGATTCGATGCAGGGCGACTCCTTGGCGATCCGAGCCGTCC